GCCTTGCTTGCCCTGCCTGCCCTGCCTGCCCTGCCTGCCCTGCCTACCCCTGCTCTGGCTGCCCTGCCTACCCTGCCTGCCCTGCCTGCCCTACCCCAGGGATGGAGCCGGAGAGAGGCCACAGCTCAATATGAGCACCCTGCCCCTGCCTGGGGCCAGTCCCGGAGATGACCTTCTCCCAAGGTGTCCTCTGTCACCAGGTCCAAGACACTCAGGACACTGGGCTCACCCCTAACTGAGCAGCCAGGCTGAAACCGGCTCCTGACGGGACAGCGCAGACGCCCACTTAGCAACTAAGCCAGGCAAAGAGTAAACGTTATTTTTAAATTTTATTGTTATTTAAATATATTATTTATTACTATTTAGCCTTCTATGATCATTTTCATTATAAAGTACTTACATGCTCATAAAAATTCAAACAATAAAGAAATCAATAAACTAAAAATGTGAGTCTCCTTTAATCAGAACAGGCATTGGACATGTCACCCATTCGATTAAAAAAACAAACTAGGGGGCCAGCAGATGGTGTGGAATCCCACACTGTTGACCATGGTTCAAGTCCCAGACCTGGAGGCTTAAAACTCATGCCAGGTGCGTGTGTGTGCACCCAAAATCCTGAGAGGAGGATGGAGGAGAGATTGTGGCGTGGCTTCTCCCTGGGGGTGGGGGTGGTTTCTCACTATGTCTCTGTCTCCCTGGTGATCACATATGCCCTATAGCAAAAACCTTTGAAAGCAAAATATAACAAACTAGAAGGCGGGCCCCATGGCCTAGTGGTGAGGGGGTGTATCCCACGTGGCCCCCCACAGTTCCAGTCCCAGCCCCTGCAGCTTGGAAGTCATGCTAGGGGTGTGTGTGTGCGGTGCACACTCAGAACCCAACAGGACGCAGAAATGGAAGAGAAGGGAGCGCGGTGTGACCACACTACTCCGAGGGTGCTTCTCCCGCTCCCTCCCTCTGTCTCTGTCTCTCTCCGGCAAGCACACGCAGCCTCTAGCAACAAAACAGAACAAAACGCACCCCAGGCCAGAGGGTGGCACAGCCGCACTGCGCCTGCACCCACAGGGGAAGACCTCGGGGCCACGGCCCCTGTGCCTGCGTGTGTCGGCCGGTGAGGCGGCTGGAGTGGGGTGTTCACGTCAGGATCCTATTGGAGGTTATGTCTTCTCTCTCTCTGTTTCTCTCATTTATCAAATTAATAAAAACTTAAAAAAAAAAAACTAGGAAAAAGGTAATTGTCATTCGGCTGATTCTGGTTCCCGCCCACCCCCCAACA